TATATATATATATATATATATATATATATATAGATAGATAGATAGATAGATAGATAGATAGATAGATAGATAGATATATAAAATATAAGTAAGCAAGCACCTTTTTCCCAGATAACAGTTTGGCACATCTTGATGTGGCTGATGCTATGCTTTGGGACCCGAATCAGTTCACAACTCTGCATCATCAAGCCTTAATGGCTTGAAAATGTTTCCAATGTGACTGAGATCATTTGAATTTGAAGGTGTTTCCAAACTTTTGATTGGTGCTATATGTGTATATCTAACTAATATTGCTGGCTCATCAGCAATCAATCACAGGGCTGACACTTTCAAGATGGCAATTTACTCTCAGCATTGATACTGAGGTAAATAATGAATTTAAATATTTTGATTACTATCTAATGATATGTGATATTCAGTAGATGCAGGTTTTAGACACTGGGAAACACTATGGAGAGAAAAAAAATACACACAAATATGGGGAAAGCATGCAAACACAAAGGCTAAAATTAAAGTTGCTCAGTTCAGCTGCTCTCAAAATAATTTCTCAGGCCTACTTCGAATTGTCATCGAATCGCGATTATAATGATGAAGCACTTTTTGGTTGGGTTGGCTTCATCCAAATAATGACACCCAAATTCCAAATGAGGTCAAGGAATACAAATAATTTAACAAAGCACTTTCGGGCAAAACTGTTCCTTGTCTTCATTAAATTTCTTACGTTTTTTTTTTAGTAAATAGTAAAACGGTAAGACTTAAGGTTCAGTCATCGAGCACGAAAGAAATGATCCAAATTGTTAAACTAATTGGTTGTGTCGTCATCCAACATGTTTTAGGCTTTGAGCCATGCAAGGCAGAGTAAAAAACTGGAGTTCAAATTTGTAATAGCAATGCAGTGACCACTGATCTACTCTTTCTATTTGCATAAGACAGGTCAACCCACTATAAGACTACATGTATTTAGTATGTAAAGTAGCATGAATAAATACTTCTGCAACAACCATTAATCTTCAGATACTTGACATTTTAGGTGACATTGCAAGTGATAGTGATAGTGGCTTCAAGACTTCAATCTAGTAAACCACTTGGTACTGTTTTTTTTCTTCTTCTAAATAGCTGGTTATTATCCATTCCAAGCGTACAGATATCCAGATATGATTATATCAACGTTATGTTGAATAGAAAACGTTGAAAGTAACAAGAAAGTAAACAAATAGGAATGTTTGTGAAAAAAAACAAAACAATTTCAGACACCTCTTTAGACTATGCCTCTGTCCTGCTTGTCCTTCTCTGCTCAGTCTTTTCTGTTCTTCTTTACATTCTGTACCAGCCTGATTATACCCGTTTCCCCTCACTATTCACCATTGTTCTTCCTTCTCATCCCTTTAAAATTATAGTACCTGTATATCTTCTACAGTTTGTCTCAGCATTCTGGAACATACATGCATGGGATATATGTAAATACCAACACATATATTGGAGTATTGGATGTATGGTTTGCCTGTGGTGGTTGTAGTCCAGAGAATGTGTTGTGATGCATTCATGCACTGTTGAAATGGAAGGCTCTAATCATTTATTAATTTTTATATATTTTTTTAAACAAATGAAATTTTCAGGGGAGCTTTGATTTATGCAATGTTAATTTTCGATCATGGGAATTAAGTGTGTTTTGAACATGAATCAAGCTTTTGGAAAACAGTAGATCAAATCATCTGCTTTCTGGCTTATGTTGATGAAAGTACTGTCAGTGACTGCTCTCCTGCTCCCATTCTGCAGGGCCTCACTGTGGAGCTCCTGCGTGGTTTTGCCCCTTCTGGCTCTCACATGGATGTCAGCTGTACTTGCCATCACTGACCGGCGCTCTGCACTATTCCAGATTCTATTTGCTGTCTTTGATTCTATGGAAGGCTTTGTCATTGTAATGGTGCATTGCATCCTACGAAGAGAGGTATTTTGACATCATCATGGCAACAACAATGTCAATTTTCACTGTCCTATTTTTGTTTGTTGTTGTTGGTTTGTGGTTGTTGGGTTTTTTTTCTCAAAATAATTGTGACCGTATTGCTCTTTTAATGGTTCAGGTTCATTGCATTCTCCTACTATGTTGTTAGTCCTAGGAGAATCATTTCTAAAGGTTTTGCACTCATTCCTTCATCACGCTCTTGCTCCCAAATGTCTCATTAGCATTTCGGAGCCATGGGGTGCCCTTTGTCAGGTGCTAAAAATTTTTAGGTCCATCCCCAGCTACCAGACAGCCTATTCGGAAATACGTATTCAGAAGCACACAACTCAAGCCCAGTCACTCCTGATTCTTTGTCATTTAGGTTTGCTTAACAGCATACAGCATCATCGGTAGATGAATGGCAAATTATAAAACTGCTTCTAATATATATACAGTATATCCAGCACACAGAGGTGATTCAGAGATGTATTTATTTTCTAGATTTAAAAAAAAAAAAGATATTTTAACAAAAATCTGCTATACTGATTATGATCCGCCAATGGGAAGCTCATGTCACTTTTAATAGGATGATTGGCCACCCCCCTTTTGTTATCCTATTTAGGATCATGGGTGAGCTGCTGGAGCCTATCCCAGCTCACTCGAGGAGAGAGGCGGGGTACTCCCTGTGCTGGGCAGCAGTCAGTCACAGGCTCATACTGGCAGATCGTATTTCACAGTCACATTATTACATGGGCAATTTAGTTTTCCAATGAAAATGGTAGCAAAAGCATAAATATGTTTGTGGGAGGAAGCCAGAGTAGCCAGCGAGAACATGCAAGCTCAACGCACGCTGATATACAAACCCGGAGTAAGTGCCAACCACATTCTCTACTGTGCGACCAGAGGAATTACCATATTTTATCAAACCGTAAGGCACATTTAAAATCCTTTAATTTTCACAAAAGTCAACAGCGCGCTTTGTAATGCGGTGCACCCTATGAATGTTGTCTTTTCAGTTTGTCGTCTTTAATTCAAATTCCTTCTTATTACATTTGCGTTGTCATTCTCATCTGCATTCCAATGTTATCATGTGTGATAATGTCATTGCGGTCTGTGGGATCAAGAGATAAAGTTATATTCCTTTCGATTTACTTTCACATTCTTGTTTGCGTTCTCGTTTTCCTCTGCATATAAATGCTAACAGGTGCTTAAAAATCACGGAAAATGTCATCCTAATAACCTAATGTTGTGGTTGCCAGATAGACGTAAACTGAGCTCTTCTGGCGGATTTTTTCCAATTTTATAATGTGGGACCGAACCGATGTGAGGTAAACGACACAGCTCACTTCCAATAGCTGGTGGCTTGTTTACAGCTGTTAAACTGTCAACCAAGAGAGCATTTAGCATTAGCCAAAGTGATAACACATCCTATGTATGGTCTGAACCTAGCCTAATAGTGCTGAATCTATCAAATAAACAAATGGTACAATTAGAATAAACTATTTAACATACAATGTTTCATCAAAAACAATGCGCCTTATAACTCGTTTTCTTATGACTGAATTTTGTTTTAATTGGACACATTCATTGATATTGCGGGGAATAATATGATGAGCCGAATTGTTCGTTAAATACTGTTTATTGGTTTCAAAATTTAAAAGGCCGATATAAAATATCAAATTGGACACATAACCTTGAACCTTGAACCTCTTTGGGTTAAAACAGCTAACCATTGAAGTTGGGCTCATTCAGAATTTAGAAAGGATTGACCAGCATTCACATGACACACCAGAAGTAAGGCCAGGAGCTTTATTGTGTTCAACAGGTTCAGGAAGCAGTAAAGTGCCGCGTGGGAGACCGCCAGGAAGATGGTAATGGGGATTCTGGTGGATCTTTCCAGAATGGACATGCTCAGCTTGTGGTATGCTTATGGATTTTTTTTTCTGGAAGCTTTTTTCAAAATGTAACACAAAAAATTATGACAATATTGAATATATAATTATTATTGATGTGGTTTATTGCCACTTCACAATCATTTGACTATTTATCTGTCGGCATGCTTTCCTGCCTGCCTGCCAGCTTGTCTGTCTACAGTTTCTATGGTTGATCTATAATGGATATTTAAAAAAAAAAACATTCCTCTTCATATTCCATTGTTTTAGTTTGTACACGCCGACCACCATTTCAAATGCTTTTGATTAACCCTGAATGAAGTTCAGGTGTTCTAATAGGCTTTTCTTGACAATACGTTATAACATCTTCCAGCACAAGCCATGGTCTACAGAGATCTTCCACAGCATCAGAAGTATCTAATTTAAAGTGTCAGTCAGGAAAAGGGAACAAAATGATTGCCAGTACATTAAATGCTGTACACCCTGGAACATAGCAAAGACAATAATCAAAAAGCGTTGTAAATATGTTACGATATTAACATGACCAAGAACTGGATGTCCCTCCAATATTGATGAAAAGACGAGACGACAACTGGACATTGAGGCTGCCTAAAGGGCGACAGCAACATTAAAGGAGTCTGGCAAGGACTGGTTGTCTAATACATTTTGACAACAATCTCTTGTGTGTTATGGAGCTGGGTAGCAAGATGCAAGCCTTATTTTACAGCCCAAAAAAAAGTTTAAAAAACACACTTGAACTCCCCTAAATGTATGTTTGGCACATAAACAACACTGCTCATCACGAACCTACAGTGAAGCATGGGCAGCTTTGGGGCTGTGTTTTTCTTGGATCTTAGTCATGGTGTGGGGTACATTGGACAGTTTCAAATAAAACTCAGTGTAAGCACATACATTTCAGGCTTCTTCTTTTAGAAAGGAAAAAAAAAGGTCATGAAAAGCCTCCTAGAACAGCGTAATTATTTGGGATTAATCAGAGGCACTTTAAATAACTCCCATTTCACAAGGTGTCTATCTCAGTTGTTTATGTTGACTTCCCTATTCAAATACATTGGAAAAAACAATAATTGAGTTGTACTGGATATAGGTCACATTAATGATAGAAAAAGTGTTTTAATGATTCATCTAGGTATCACTTTTTTATATCACAAAAACCTGACATTTGAACAGGGATGTTCAGACTTTTCATGTCATTTGTATCAGCTCATATGCGTAATTTCTTGTTATTTGTAATCAATTTATATTTTTTTTACATTTTGTTACCAGACTGACTTTGAGAAGGATGTTGATATGGCTTGCAGATCAGGTAAATGGGTTTTGTACATTCAGTTTTGCCCTTTTGAATCATTTTGAAAGATTTTCTCAACTGGATCATTTTCACACTTTTAAATCCTTTTGAAACATTTTCTGAACAGACAAGGCGTGTGTTCACAAATAGTACAAACACATTTTCAGGGCATACCTCCTGGCCTCTTATACAAATATTAAACCGGTGGCACTGAAACCAAAATAATTAGGGATGTCCCGGAACTGGGGTGCGACCACGTTGCTTTCAGCTGATCGGGTAGCGGGGCAAAAAGATCACATTTGGGAAATTTTATAGGTCACAAAGTAACCAAATAATCAAAACCTATTCATATCTTGACAAAAGGAACAGTAATAACTTAATTTTACCTTACACATTTTGTGAATTTTTGCGGGGATAATAGTCAGAGTGCCAGTGGAGCCACACACACGCACAGAGGCACGTCTGCGTGTTCACAATTGTCTCCCTCCACACTAAATCATTAGGCAGTTGGAAAAACAATGGCATGCAAACTATGCAAAAACACTCTGGGTAAGCCAAAAGATACTTCTGAAATAGCCCAAGTCTTCCTTGCCTGTTACAGAGCTGCCTCACTGAACGGCAAACAGGCAGGTTAGCAATTGTGACATGTCCAAACGACGTGACTTTAAATAGAAGTCGAACTTTGAAATCATCCTCTTGCTAGCTCGTTCCATGCTCTTAAGCCAATTTTCCATATTTTCTTAGCCTGGCCTCCATTGCAGCTATTCAAAATAATAATTGCCATTGGATGATGTGGCGGCATTGCAAATTACAGCCCATCAAATGCATATAAACTTTCACACAGATGAAAACTCAGTTTTCCGGTTTAAGCGAGATAGACACCGCCGTTCACCACCAAGACATAAAAATACAGCCCCACCAAGCCGCCAACCGCAAGGTGGGGACCACGACTGACGGGCTGGGGGTTTGGCTGCGGCTAGAGGATGTCTTCATCACGGTCAACACCAGTAGATGTTTCCGTTGGATACGCTTCGCCCTCCTTTTGGAGACCTGGCGACTTTGACCTTGGCGACTTCTCATTCAAAGGAATGAGCCAGGCGAGCGGTGTATGCCGCTCGCTAAAATCTTTACCAGCAGCTTCACTATTTCATCCATTGTTACATAAGAATTTATAAATATGGTTAAGTATTGTTGTAAACCCCGATAGATGTGGACTGTATATACTGTATTTTTATGACTTGATGGTGTCTGGTTTTCTCTCGCTCACTTAAAACATGGAAATGGGCATCTACAGTGCAGTTCCTTGCTGCATCACTTTAGAAATGTATACATACGCCGGCCAATCATATGACAATGTCACGGCCCTGCTCGGCCTGTGTTTTAGAACCATTTGAAAGGTGGAAAGCGGTTCCATTGTAACTGCATGACTCCCAAAAACCGAAATGGAAAGGCGACCACACAGGGTTGAGTCAGGCTGTTTTTGGGTATGGAAAAATAAATGCAAAAAACACTCCAAACTGTAGTTAACAAACTCTATAACTTTATGCAAGCTCTGCTCTGACCACAACCCTATCAAAAATAATAATTTCTAATTCCTCGGCACATCTGGCAACGCCACGACAATAGTCCGCAGCCAATTGTAGCAGATTTTTCTTTTCTTCTACTGTCTCACATTTTCGATCTACCATGAGTGATTTTTCTCAACCTTGTCCATCTTTGTCTAACATGGCCAAAATCTACAGTGCAGAACAGATGTAAGACTTGTTGGACAATTTGTGTTCAAGATAAATACACAGAATATATCTGTGATGCAATATGTATTAGACTTCCTCATTAAAATTATGAGTGTTTTATTGTTTTTGACTACTTAATATCAGAGTGAATAGCTTTTGTCCAGACGCACATAAGAACAGTTTGAATGGAGTCACGAGTTTGGACTCTGGAACAAATTATTTTGATTATAATTGAACAAATTATTTTGATTATAATTGATCTCAAAGGGATATGTCAGAAGCTAATCATCTCAAAAGTCGACGAGCATCACGGGATGGATTGTGTCAAACTTTAGTGTACCTTGAATGAATATTTTCTTTTCGCATCTTTCTTCTCTGCTCATCTAGGCACTATGAAGCACTCCTCCCTCCAGGGTGAGGAAAAGCCCACTTCTGGGGCTGTAACCCTTCAAAGGGGATCTAACTTCAATACAATGCCAGCCAGTATGGCCAAGGTCCATCTCCAGAACATGGCAGACTATACCAGCCACACACTGACTCTACGCAGAGAGAAATGTACCACTAAAGGAATCAGCACTGAGTTGCCAGGTGCCAAATCCATTTACATATGTGACAGTGAGCTCTTTAAGCAGCTAGATGGTGACCTTCCACAAAGGAATGGAGAAGGAAGCAGTTGTGAGGGCACTAGCAAAGCCGCAGGGCTAGTCCTATTACCAGCCAACAACACAGCTACCCTAAGGCCAGCCAAGGGCAAAGAAGAGCAACCAACCAAGTACAACATTAGTGTTGAGCAGCTGCCTCAGACAAGGCTCATCCACCTGGCTAACCCTGTCAGTGGTGAGCCAGTGCTTGGATTCGGACTGAAGAGCTTGCCTGCTGACCAGGTCAGTGTGTCATGTTCAGAGAGAGACTCACCTGCGCACAACCTTCAAAACCTGCCAAGAGACTCTCAAGTGGACAGCAGCACCTGTAATGGAGCAGAATCTGGAAACTCTGTTGTGATGACCAAGAGTGAAACTGTTTCTACACTATCCACAAGCTCCCTGGAGGTGAGTAGACGTACTTCCATAATCTTGACCAAGCAATAAACTGAAAAGACACAGCCTCAAAGTTGTAGCGTATTGTTTTGCGTATTTTTAGCCCTTTATTGGGGAAAAAAATGAATATCTCAAAATTACAGCTAATTCGAAAAAGCCAAAATAATTTTCTGATTTAGCGACATCAAAATACCCTAAAACCGTTGAAACTTATTTTGGAACCAAAATATTTGTTGACCACTGTTATCAGAGAGAATAATATGAATGAATAAAGATTCAAAACATACCAATAACGTGAAAATGCTTTTAAACCCAGGTTAAAGATATGCTTTTCTCACCTACTAGTAATCGCTTCGCAGCCGAGTGTGAAACGTTTGGGATGACAGACATCAGGACGCACAAATCTGAGACCATAGTGCTCAGTCATAAAAGAGTGGATTGCCTTCTCCAGGTCAGGGATGAGATCTTGCTCCAAGTGGACAAATTATCTTCAAGTATCTTGAGGTCTTGTTCATGAGTGAGGGAAGGATAGAGCCACAGGCGGACCGATACAGCGTCGACTGTGATGCGGACTCTCTATGGGTCTGTCGTGGTATAATGAAGGAGGTGAGCCGAAAGTCAAATCCCTCAATTTACCAATCGATCTACATTCCTACTCTTACATATGGCCACGAGCGGAGGGTTGTACTGAAAAAAGGAGATTCTGAATACAAGCGGCCGAAATGAGTTTCCTATGCAGCGTGTCCTTTGGAGATAGGGTGACAAGCTCAGTTATCTCGGGGGTACTCAGAGTGGAACCGCTGCTTCTCCATGTCGAGAGACGCCAGATGAGGTGGTTTGGGCATCTGGTTAGGATGCCTCCTGGACCCCTCTTTTGTGAGGTGTTCTGGGCATGTCCCACTGGCAGAAGGCCTTGGGAACGATCCAGGACAAGCTGGAGAAACTGTGACTCCCGGTTGGCCTGGGAATGCCTTCGGATCCCCGGGAAGAGCTGGAGAAAGTGGCTCGGGAGAGGGAAACGTGTCTCTGTGTGTGTGTGTGTGTGTGTGTGTGTGTGTGTGTGTGTGTGTGTGTGTGTGTGTGTGTGTGTGTGCGCGTGCGTGCGTTATACATACACACACACACATATATATATACACACACACACACACACACACACACACACACGGGATTTTAACATTGATTTGTTTGTTAAATCTGAATGGACATTAAAAAAAACTGACTTTATGAATACAATGTATAGCAAGTCTGAAACCTAGTAGAATAACACTTTATTATTTTATACAATTTGTTGAGAACATATTTATAAATAAAATTGACTATAAAATGGAAGGTGATCTTCTTATTACCAATATAAGTGACCATCTCCCTGTCTTTGCATTTTTTTCATCATGATTTTGATTAAAAAAAACAAAACAAACAAAGTTAACAACTCATATCAGAAATAAGACAAAGAACACAATGTTCCTTTGCTGCTTTTAAGTTAGACCGAGCAAATCCAAACTGGTCAGAGGTTTATTCAAACGAAGACCCAAATATTGCGTATGATGCAGTTCAGTCCACTATAGTCTCTTTATATGCTAAACATTGTCCATTAACTAAAGTCACCAGGAAGTATAAAGTCTTAAGTAAGACGTGGATAACGAAAGGTATAGAGAATGCATGTAAAAAGAAAAACATTTAACGTAAAACATTTATAAAATTGAGAACTAAAGACGCTGAAAGAAAGTATAAGACCTATAAAAATACATTAGTTAATATTATAAGAATAAGTAAGAGAGATCGTTATCAAGCATTATTAGAGCAGAACAAAAGCAACACCCAAGAATGGAAATTACTAAATCATGTAATCAAAAATAGCTCTAAAAAAAGTAGACGATCCAGAATACTTCATAAAAGACACAAATACTGTTGTTGATAAAACTGCAGAAATAGCGTATTTTCTCAATATCGGTTGTAACCTAGCAAAAGAAATTCCTGAGCCAATAAACACGTTTGGAATGGATCAATATAGAAAAAAGAACTCCTCCAGCATGTTCCTGTCAAAATGTTCAAAAAAAAAGAAAAGTCCACGGATTGTTTTAATATTAATATGACATTTGTCAAAATATTGTAGAACATGTAGCGCGACCTTTCAAATACATATGGAACTTGTCATTCAAAGCTGGTGTCTTTCCAACAAAAATGCATATTATGTATGCATAAGCGTAAATGCATTTGTATACTATAAATACGATAAATATATACTATAAATCATAGGCCTATATGTTGACTTTTTTCCTTTTCTCAGATTGAGATCAACTAAATGAATGACCTATTATTATATTAATATCAAACAAGTTAAAATTCACAAAGGACAAGGGGTAGGACTAGATTGATGTTTTACTTTTTCCTACTTCCTTTGAACATCTAAATTGTGCTGAATGATGACATTTTTTCTTTTAAGTTTTTTTTAACTTCCCTTGACTCCCTGCCAAATTTCTGTTATATGTTTGTATGTTCAATAAACAAACAAACAAAAACAAGTGACAACACAAGATGCTGGCAGTGTGTCACCTTAATCGGATCAAACTGGAACATTTCCGTCCATTTAAATATAGCCTCTGTTCATGGGAATATTATAACCATGAGACTTTTCATTGTATTAACCAGCATTACCCAGATTTTAAGACAAATGCGTAGGATTTGTGTATTGTACATGTGTCAAAGTTATTTTTGGTAGGTTACACATTTTTTTGTCTCATCACATAATATGCACTTTGATGTTTTTTTTTGTTTTGTTTTGTTTTTTTTTTTAATCCATTCATCAGTTTGATACATTTCACACATTTTCCAGTTACTGCTTTACTGATGCCTTAAATTCGACATCAGTCATTTCATGGGCGAACGAAACTGCATCCAAAAACGTAGGTTGCTGCTTTACTGATGCCTTAAATTTGACATCAGTCATCTTATTTCATGGGCGAACGAAACTGCATCCAAAAACGTAAGCAAGGATGAACATAAGAAAACCCTTGGCGGTGAAACAGTTCGAGTTTAGTCCAGTTTATAGTGCTGACTGCAGTCGCAAGATGTGGCAGTGCAGTGAGCAGCACACAGTGGCCCCAACATCTGTCTGCTGGTGTCTTTTCACTTCAGGGCAAAACACACTTCCATAATGGCGTGTGAAGCAGCAGTTGCCAGAGCAACTGGGCAGCCTGAAGGTCAGGTTTTCCCCTCACTATTCAGTGACAGCTGACTTAAAGGTCATTCGGTCACAATCTGTTAAATGCAAGCTTTTGCCAACGGGGCTGGAATGACCAGCGACAAACCTAGTTTTCTCCCTTTGCCATCACTGCGCTCCTATGAGTCGCAGAAAATCCCTTATTGAGTTTCCACCAGACTGAAATGTATTGAGGATACTCAAGCATTTGTCTTCTCAAGTGGCGCATAATATCATTATAAGTCATTAATCTGTCTGTATCATCTCCTCCCACCAGAGGCGAAAATCACGCTATGCAGAGCTTGACTTTGAGGTAATTTTAGTCTCTTTTATTCATACAAAGAGCTTCGATTTGTCTGTTTAGTATCATAATCTGTTGATGTTTGCAAACATTTGTTATTCACTGTTAGGTATGGAACGTAATTAGAGAGATTAGAGATGACTAAGAAGAGGCCAAAGTGGAATTGATGGGCGTTTGTGCTATTTCCCTTGTGCGTAATGTACAATCTTCTTGTGTAGAAGATAATGCACACCCGGAAACGCCACCAGGACATGTTTCAGGACCTGAACAGGAAGATTCACAGTGCAGACATGGATGTAGACTCTTCACCTGTTGATGCCAAAGCTACTAAAAGATGGAGCGTGTCCTCTGCCGGCAGCGACAAGACCAACATAAGTGTAAAGAGTTTGACTTTATTCTGTTCTACACCCCACCCCTCTAACAATGTTCTCCTTTCACCTAATACAAGTGAAAATCTGAAACGTGGGTGGAGTTTTCTCTTGTAGTCAGATTCAGTGAGTTTTCACGTCAACTCAATTGATTAGTTTGCTGTTGAGGAACTTTACAGGCCCACACAAAGCTCTGACCGCAAACTGGATGATTGTGCTGTTATCCCATCTGTCATTTTTTTCTGGTTCACCCCGCCCCCCCCCCCTTGCAAGTGTTTATCATTGTCATTTTAACTTATTTGTTCCCATCCTGTAAGAAAACATCGACTGCATGTTGATTATAATTATGTGTGTTATTATCCCTGGGGTGGGGAGATCAAGTTTCCTTTCATGCGAGTAGAAATGATTGGAATTGCAACCATGTTTTGAAAAGTAATCTGTCATCTTCATTGCACTTTAGAATTTCATTATTAAGGGTAAACAACACCAGTTCTATGTGTACTGTCGTGGAATTATGGACAGACGGGAAAATAAGTGCAAGGAGGCAAGGGGTGTCACCCATTAAAATTTGTACGGTGACCATTTAATAGTAATAATCAATATTAATATTATTATTACATAGGCCAGTGAAAAGTTCCGAGGGAACCTTCATCCGGTCCTTTTTATCTTTAATGTCCACTAATCGTAATTACCAGAAGACTGTATATTGTCTGTTGAACTATTTAATGCAGGGGTCACCAACGTGGTGCCCACGGTCGCCAGGTAGCCCACCAAGGACCACATCAGTTGTCCATGGGGCTGTTCTAAAAATAGGTCAGGACACAATGATTTTCTGGAAATGTTATGTAAGTTATCTATTGAAAACATGAACAATCGAAGAGATTTATTGAAATGTGTAGCATATTGCTATTTATCTGTTTCCTAATTATTGTGAGAAATAATTAACACGATCAGTGTCTTGGCATGAAAGAATGTCATAATTTGGGCTGTTACTGTCCCACGGATTATTCAGTCGATTACTCGGTGGGTTAATCGCCCTGCCTCTTATTTCAAGGCAAAAATTTTTGGTCAATCAATTCCATGCGGTCTGCCAAGTCCATGAGACTCCACGGTCTTAACTGGTTTCAACTAGAAATGTGCGCAAGTGTATAAATAGATAGGAAGATGTGCAGAGACTGGAGAAAAGGTCACCGCAACATCACATCCTAGCTCCAGTCAGCGATCTACTACTGTGCCAAAGATGCCTAATCTAACACGAGATAAAACAGCTGCCAAGCTCGAACAGTCCTATTTGTGTTGACTGATGAAGCCTGCCCAGATCTGAGGTGAAACGTCTTTTAAGACAATTGATTCAATGCCCTGAAAATAGTCATACCGTTTAATAGGAGGTCATTCCAAAGGGATGGGCTGGCAATGGAAAAGTCTCTAACCCAGGGGTCCCCAACCACCGTTCCCCGGATCGATACCGGATTGCGACCCATTTGGTACCGGGCCGCACAGAGACAGACCAAGATCTTTTTTTTGTTTGTTTTGTTTTTGTTTTTGCTGGGCAACAGTCAAACACACCACCCCCATCCAATACCACCCAGCCCTTACCTTCCAAATGGCAATATAAATAGGGCTGGGTGATTATAAGATTGTGATTTGTGATATTACGTGACCAGTGGCCAGCTGTGGGCATATTTACGCCATTATGGCCATTTATGCCGGAAATATGTGCAAATTTAGCGGATCGAAGTCCCCATTCCAACATTGGTTTGCAAGTTGAAGTAAAAAGAATCTGCCAATAGATGAAAGAAGAAGCAGTACACAGAAAGTAATAGTAACAAATTAATGACACGTACCGGTAGATCTAAACGCGCAGCTGATGAGTGGCCATGACTTCCAAAAATGAAACTGCTTTGACAAGAGCAGTTCCTCCCCTGGCTGTATCTCCAGAGCGACGTGGTGGAGGACACTGTTGTGCGTGGGATGTTGTCAAAAACAAGACAATAAAACAAACCTGTTGAAGTATTTGAACAAGTAGCACCCAAGTGACCAAGTGGAAAGCATGAAAATGCGAGTTTGCACAGCCTGACCACGTAAACATTAGCAGTTCAGTCACTCATAACTTGCCGGCAACTACCGGATGAAAGCAGAAATCAATTGTGTCATCTTTTGATTCATCATGTTTGCAAGTAGCAATGATGCCAATGCGTCTATAGGATCATAACTTAAAAATTATAATGTTTACATTTAAAATATATTCATTATTCGTGATTGGTCCATTTTTTAATGAGTTTACTTTGTTATTTTATGTATTCTACATGTGCTGTACTGTTGAATACAACTGTTTGAAAGGAATGAAAAAAGTGTTAGTAAAATGTTTAATTACTCTATAATTATCTTTGTTGTCAATACCATTGCTTTAAAATTGAAATGCGATGGGGAAAAAAAATGGTTGCCGGTCCACGAACAGCTTGTACATAACTCACCTGGTCCATGACACAAAAAAGGTCCACTTAGACCGACAGTACCCGGTACTCCGGATATAACGTGCAGTTCCCAAATGATCTTATTGATTAAGACGAAAAACACCAACCATATCTGACCCTATGTAAGTAAATGGCCAGTCACAGGCGGACTTGCTAGTATGTTTCAGCTAGTTGTGATGCTGCATCCCTGAGTACTTTGAGGGCTGATCTATCACCTCCAGGATTTTTTTGCGAGACAATAGAATTCATTGTTCCCTTCATCATAGCAAGTCGTCCGTGTGCTGAAAGAGCAAATTAGCACTCTGCCACCACCCTGTTTCATTTTCGAAGATGCTCTTTTTGTCAAATATAGTGTTATTTTACACCAACTGTAATGGTGAGACAAGCCATTTTCTTTTCTTCGTCTTTTTTTTTTTTTATACTTGGAACACTGCCATGGATGCCATTTTTGCCCACTTTCTTTTGGTTGAGTCATGATGACTGACCTTAACTGAGGCCAGTGAGGCCTGCAGTTCTTTGGATGTCATTCTGGATTCTTTTGTGACCTGCTGGATGAGTCATTGTTGCACCTTTGGAATCATTTAAGTCGATTATTCCCGGGAAGGTTCACCACTGTTCTGAGTGTGGTTTGCTGGAATCCCCAAAGCCTTTGGAAAGGTCTTTGAAATCTTTTCCAGACTGACTGGCTTGAGATCACTCACTTCGGTCTGCGTGTTGCCACTCTAATTGAACTGTGGTTAAATATAGTTAACTTGTGATTGAACGGCATTGGGGGTTTAGGTGAGGAAGACATGAGAGAAAAGGTGGGTGGATGTTCATAGGAAAGAAGTTGGTGATTTGCTGAGGTTATTGGTTATTGGTTGCTTTGAATGTGAGGAGCAGGATTTCATCAATAATGCGGTGAGTAATTTGCAAATTAAGTTGCTGTAAAAACAGTCGTGACCGGTGTGAGGGGACCTTGAGAGTGTGCAATCTGAGTTTGTTCTGCTAGATTCAATGGGTAAATCAGTGAGAAGCGAGTGACAGTAATCAAGAGTGCATGTGACTAATGTATGGTAATATTGTTTAGTGAGAGTGTTGGGTTTGTAGATTTTTTTTTTTTAACTATGAAGCTAAAAACTATAAAAGTTCAATTGAAAGGAGGTCCATTAAGATATCATTGGTTTCAATTTGTTACGTCGGGGTTTACAATGTCAAATCTCAAAGACCTCAATCCAAGGTAAGTGGGAAAAAATGTTTTGAATCTGGATTTAAAAGCATTTACACTCTGGGCTGACTTCACTGCTATTGGCAGCGTCCATCTGCATCTAGCATAACAACTAAATGCAGCTTCGACATGTTTACTTTAAAATCCGGGCTCCCTGAATTTTTCCAAGACTGCAGAACCCCTACTGGGTTTATATCCAATTAGCATTAATTTGACGTATACATGACTCAAACAATTCAGTGATTTATAGACAAGTAGCAGAATTTTTAAATCTGTTCTACAGCTCCTTGTGAGCTAGTGTAAAGCCTTTAGAACTGGAGTGGTATGATATGATCTCTTTGCTCTGGTCAGAACCCAAGCTAAAGCGTTTTGAATGAGCTGCAGCTCATCCAATACACTTTTCAATACAATAATCAATTCTACTGGAGATAAAAGCATGGATATGTTTCTCCTGGTCTGCTCGAGCGCAATAGAGTGACAGTTATTTGCGCTAGACAGTGACACGGCACATTAATTGAACTGCTGTCATTTGGAGACACAATGATGAATATAGCTGTGATTTGCATAACAATGTTAGCCAACTTTGGCTTTCTGAAGCGTTTGACCCAAAGATAACATACTGTAGACAAACTGAAAAAAGGGGGTCCAAGGACTGACTCTTGAGGGACCCCACATTTCATGGCCATTTGATCAGATTCAAATGGCGGATTTCCAGTATCTTGAGGGCTTGTTCATGACTGAAGAAAGAATGAAACGAGAGATCGACAGGCGCATCGGTGCAGCCTCTGCAGTGATGCGGACTTTGTATCGGTCTGTCATGGTGAAAAGGGCATTGATCCACGAGGCGAAGCTCTCAATTTACCGGTCGATCCACATTCCTACCCTCGCCTGTGGTCATGAACTGTGAGTTGTGACTGAAAGAACAAGATCCCTGATCCTTAGGATGTCCAGGCTCTCACCTCGAGATAAAGTGAGAAGTTTGGTCATCTGGGAAGAACTCAGACTCCAGCCACTGCCACTGCTCCTCCGCATTGAGAGGAGCCATCAGGGGCGGCCGGGGCATCTGTTTAGGATTCCCCCTTGATGCCTTCCTGGTGAGGTGTTCTGGGCACGTCCCATTGGGAGTAGGCCCTGGGGAAGACCTAGGACATTTTGGAGGGACTCTGTCAATCTTCCTCGGCTGGAATACCAGAATTTGGTCGACTCCATGAAACACAGATTTCAAGCAGCTCTCAGGAACTGTTGTATACTGTACAATTAAATGTCACTTCAGTGATTTGGCAGGAAAATAAGAGAACTATTTTTTAGTTGATACCTTCAACGTTCAGGTTAAAAAAAAACAGCTCTGTAGCTGTTTTCCACCTCTTCACGGGAATGTTACTATTTTTTCCCTCTTTTGTATTTTGAAATTAAAACTTTTCCATGTATGGAAATAAAACCTACAATGGAATTTTGTTGGCGGATTTGTGCTCTGTTGATCACATTCCACACAACTGTATGTCTCCAGAAAATACTACTACATAATAACAATAATAATTAGCAAATGTGTTCTCTTTCTGTTATTAGGATAAGCAGCAGACTCCAAGTAAGAGGATGTGGGAGGGCATCCAAAAGACCCACTCACCTCCATCTTGGGGAAGAAAAGACCTGGCAACAGCAGTGACCTCCCCTTTGGAGATGCAGACGGTGGAGTGGGAGAAGACAAGTGCAACTATTCCTTTGGTAGGCCAGGATATCATGGACCTGCAAACGGAGGTGTGATAAATAAGCCGTATTTCCTCGCATCACCTTTCACTTCACTCTTGGACAAATAAGGAACATGTCACATGTACTGGATGAGTTCCACGGCAAATGTGAGGAAAAAGGAGAGTACAAAAGACAATAAATGCAGGACATTAGCATACGAGAACTGCTGTCATGATGTCTTTGTATGTTGTTTCATTTAATGTTTTGACCGTGTTTTCATCAGACATGAACTGCCTCCCTGAATATGGACATGAGTACCAAACTGCTTACGGGGGAGACAGTTTGGTCGGAGATTTAGTGACTCCATAGTGTATCATACACAAAGGCTATGACTTGTTGTCGAGTATGTATTTAATGGTTGTAATGTAATTAGTCATGTCTTCTTTCTATCCATTCAGTCTTACTGCATCACTGTTGCACTCTCTTTCTCCAAATCAGCACTGCTGTTTTACATGGCTCAAAAGTTTTTCCTCAACGTCAGTGATAAATTGAAACATCAAGAATAGTTCGAGGACAGACTGCCAAGCGCCCGCTGCTATGCTCCTTAAGTCAATCCCTTCGCCTGCACAAATCACCCATATCCTTCTGGCTCCGACATTTTTTTTCCACACTGGCACGGTTGGCACCGGTGAGACAAGTTGAAGGGGAATGTGGATGAAAACAAAATCAAGCGTCCAAAAGGAGAATTGCCTTCTCCTCGAATGACTCCTCTGAAATTCTTGCAGGCTTTGACATCTAATTTTGGGCTTCGACCACAATTCCACCCCTGAGGATCGGGGATAGCTCACATCTACTCGGTCAGTACATCCAACTGTGTGGCATTTGTTGACAACGACAAGCAGGCAGGCTTCGTGTTGCTAAAATTCCATTTTTAAAATTGGTATGAAAAAGGAATATCAATGTTGAATAATTAAAGATATGTATGTGACTCAAGATATAAATATACAGTATACCGTATGTTGTGATACATAAATGGAACATGAAAGCACAAGGCTCATTTGGAGTCATGATGTACAGCATTGTAATTATATGACAGAGTTCTACAGAGTGGATTTCAGCGTTTAAATATATTTCATACTCTGCTTTTGAAGAGTCATTATTAAATATCAAAAGAAGTATTATGATATCCTTCTTCTCCCTTTCCTGTCTTTTCAGGATACTGGACTATATGCGTGTTCTGTATCACAATGTAACCTGCGTGTTTTTATACCACAACCATTTACTCTTGGATCTCCTCACTGTTGTCCCCTGTTCTCGAATCTGCTCGATCGCCAGCCTTTCTCACAGAGCCCTCACACCTCTCCTAACTTGCCTTTTTATTTTATCTGGGGTCATCTGTTTGTTAATGTACAGTTTTCAGAGCACAAAGTGAATGTGTCTTATTTCTAATTAAAAAATATATATATATATGTACTTTAACCAAAGCAGGCATCGTGAATTTAGTTCTCAGTGTTGTTAGAGAAATACTGTTTTTTTATTCTCTTTTTTCTTCGAGTGTGACAATAGAAATGTGTGTATTGATGTACTGTGCATGTATTTGGTACATATTCGGTACAGTATGTATATTTAAATCAAAAAGCCAGCGAGCTATACCTTTTTGTAATAGCTGTATAAAGGCAAACATAAGAAGCGGTTTGCAAAAATGTTAAGGACGAGAACAACATAATTCACTCTAAAGTACTGTAATTACCACACACCGGTGTGGTTACTACGCTCAGTGCAACATTTCAAAAGAAAAAAAATGCACAGTAGAAGAACAAAAGAGATGGTCTGATAAAAACTAAATTTAGCAGAATTTTAAAGTATAAGGGGCACCCTTCTATCATCAGCTGCTTCTCTCGCCTCTCGTTTACCATTTCACAGGTTCTCCTCAACTCACTTAGAATCACTGTCTGTCATGCACATGTGAAAAGCTCTGTATAGTGCCATTGCCGTTTTTATGACATTTCAACAGTTTAAATTGGAAATCAAGTAAAAAATGTTTATTTTTTTTACTATTATGTGTTCCATGCACCCCCATTAATCGAAACACTGTATTTTGATTATCATTGGATTTGTGAATTATGAATTTAGCACCAAAATCCACCGTTTTTTTTGTTGTTGTTGTTGTTTTAAATCTATTTCAGGGGGCGGCCATTTTGCCACTTGCCGTCCACTGAAAATGACATCAAAGTGCCTGGGGGTACATCACATGACCAAACCCCCAAAAACAGGTGAGCCCTTAGGCCACAGACTTATGTATGATGAATTAACCCCTGATGGCTGGCGCCAGAGGGCAGGCATCTTACATTGCCACTTCTGTTCATTTTTCATTGGAAACAATGTTATCAATTTGTGCACATTTTTTCCTGATGGCCTTTATTTCATATCATTGTTCTGAAAACAATGTAGGCGAATCTATGAGTAGCAATCAGTGATATCCCCTATTAGAGAACATTTATCATCACATTTTTAACAATGAAATGTGCATGTAGCACTTCTCCCAGACTTATTGGTCCAACCGTTTGCCACTCACTGTGGCATTTAGCTGTTAAAACAGAAAATGGCATGAAAACGCCACCGAGAAATCAATATATTCCAGTTTGCCACACTTAGTGAGATAAGATGGCTGCCGGTGGCTTCACGTCTTGCTACGGCGAGTACGCATTATTGTTAGTCTATCATAATAGAAGTCTGTGCCTTCGTCACTGTGATATTATTTTCAGTCGACAGCAAGTAGCAAAGTGGTTGCCCTCTGCAATGGATAATAATGGTGGAATTTATTGCTCAATTTATATTCCAAGAACGGAATATTAATCAGAATGCCGTGTTGGCGCATAAAATATATTGTAAACAAAATTTTGACTTGGCTTCAACAGGACAATGGTGTCAAGCTGATGATCAATTAAGCGTATTAACGTGCATAGAATTACTATAGAGGCATTTTAACTATCACGGTGGCTACCCTGAGTGAAAGACTGGCCATCCATCGGCCAGTCCTTGTAAAAAAATATTGTTTTCAGATTCACTGTGGCACATAAGTATATTTGTGTGGCCATTTATTACAAAACAGTCAACGGGCTTCAGAGGTCCATAGTTCAAAAGATTGGCAAAATCCTCGTTAAAAGTGCGTTTGATGGCTTGGACCAGCGGCCGTTCTGATGGATACCGGACATGCGATGATGCAGTGGAAACACATCGGGGACAAACTTTACTGCTCTATCCTGCACACAGGTGAGTATGCCAGTCTGTAATTGTGGGGATTTTGAATGACATGCAGTACTGTAGTATAATATTAAAATATTGAAGTGAGTTAATTTTTGTGAAAACTTAGAAATGAGTTTTTGTATTTAATGATGGTTTGCTGTTCAGCAGTTTTATGCCATCTCTGAATGGAAGACCTTTGCACAAGAAAAAAAAAAATCAGGTGGTAATTTTTTGTTCGAATTTGCTGTTCAATTTTGCCCCCCACCCTCCCCCACTAGGGGTGATGAATAAGTTCGGCACAATCCATCGTTGTCATTGCCCATCCCTTTTATACATTTTCAGATGAGGTGAAGGACCTTCGAATCAAACCACAAGATTGATCGTCACCGTCAGCAGATTTTAACGAGTAATTTCACCTTTTTTTATGTCAGTGGAGCAACTGACAGGCGAAAGCAATGGTATTTTTTGTAGTTACGATAGTGGAATGTCCGAACAGGCTGCTATATTGGCCTCTTGTACAATACTTTACAGATACTGGGTAATACACACAACCAGTGTAAAAGTGAGTTCCTATGTGTCTACATGGCAAACCTCATAGATCAGAGGTAGCCGACCTTTTGAACCTGAGAATCAACTCTTGTCTACTGTTCAATGATTTTCATTTATCGCACAATAGTTAGGAAAGAGATAAATATCAAGATTCAGAGATTTCTGTAAATTCGATGGCAGTTGTCGGCTAACTGGTGTCCACTGGTGACCCCTGTCAGAGACACTTGCCACAAAGCCAATGTGCCCAAGAACCGAAACCTGAGATGTACAAAAAAATGCACACACGTGCAAATGCACAGCTTGAATCCAAAATAACATGCATTCATTTCATGCTGACTGAGTTTTTATTTGATGAATCTTTTGAAATCAATTTGTTTTATAATTGAATACTCCACACTGTCTTTTTATGCCAGATCATTATGGCAGTGTTTCCTTTCATACTTCACTGAACAATTACTATTTGTTCCTACGTCAAGTTTACATGCGAGTCAACTAAATAAATGAATAAATAAACCCAAGTGCTTAAAATGATAAAGTTAAGTAACGCTACATAAAATAAGGTTCATTTTTTTCAGTAATTACTTAAGCAGTGAGTGGGCTGCAAAATTTGTGAGCAGCAAGGTGGGTAACGGTTAACAAATCTATCTTTCAGTTTTGTGTGTGAATTATTTGTGTGGAGTTTGAACGTTCTCTACGTAATAGCGTTGTTGCTGTAAAGTTTTTCTCCAGGTACTTTGGCTGCACATTCCAAACCCATAAATTCACTGAAGACTGTACATAGGTGTGAATGTGAGTGTGAATGGCCTCTTGTCTGTTAATGCCCTGTGATTGGCTGGTGGCCAATGCAGTGTGCATTATCTAAAGTCAGCTGGGATTGGCGTTTACACAGTAGAAATAAGAAATGAAAATGAATGGATAGATTTTTATTTGTCATTTAGTAAGACATTCCTATAACCCTGACAACAGACGGCGCAGAGATCTAAATCAAGTGTAACAACTGCAAACTGGTTAAATATGACCAAACAAAATCAAATACATCTGAACATTTCACGAGAGCTCAAATTGTTATATCAGTTTTTACAAGACTCGCAAATCTAATCTTTGCACCAACTCACTTTAAACTCACTTCCTCGCCGCAGTGACATGTAAACAGTCATGAGATTCTTTGAAATGTTCCTTTTTATTTTTGAGGGACACTGCTGAAAAAACCGAAGGCATGTTTAATGTGATTTCCCATTCTGATTGGTGGTTGTGAGATTTTGGCCAGTGGACACAGCCTGAGAAGTGCATGTGTTATAAGATGAGCATAAAAGCTAATAGCTGATAGAATATGTAGAAATAAATAGGAATGCAATAAAATGGGTGAGAGGACAAGCAGAGAAGACATTTTATAAAAAGGCAAATGCTTGATTTTCAATGAGTCAACATATCTGTTTTGCTCCAGATTGTGTTGGCCAGGAGATTTATGAGATGGCATTGAGACAGGAAATTACATACGTGATGCCACAGTGAAAACAGGGAGATGAAAAAAATGAGACCTTAGACATTTTTAAATTAAAGCAGAATGTATTTTATATGAACTGATATGGATCCACACCGGTGTTCTCGTTAGATCACCATAATAAGCATTGAGTGGGGAAAGAGCTCCCACTGCAAATTGCTGGATTGGTCATAGACGGTTTTAATGTTATGGAAGGTCTATTTTGCACAAGCCAAAAGACTGATGGTTGAAAATGGGTGTCAACTAAACAGCTCGTGAGATTTCGGTTTTCTTATATATTCTCTCTCTTTTCCTCTCCTGTTCTCATATATCTTGAGTCTCATAATTTCATTTCACAGTATGTGTTTTTGCTAGCTCGATAAATCATTGATATAGTGAAGTGCAAGGCCTTGTACCATAATGTGTGGACAATTAGGTGTAGCCTCTTTATAATTAATGCTGGAAATGCATTTTCAGTGAGGTCTGACTGGATTCGGTGTGATTTTTCCCACTCATAGCTGCCTTTTCTGTGGTACCGGTAATTCAATTTATAATATCTCAACGTCATTTTTAAAATCACAAATCACTTTACCCTTAAAGTGTATATAAGAAATGGTGAAGCAAGACAAGAGGGATAGTATTCTGAGCAGTTGCAGGCTGATGCCATGCTGATGGCTTGAACCTCCCCAGTTGAATGAGCACTCTTCTCCTTTGACATCATAAAGATGACATAGTGTGGGTCGTCTATCAAGAATCCTACTTTGCATGTTCTCAAAATATTTTAGTTTGACATGCAAATAAAAATTTGTTTTTTTTTTTCCAGGAATTGAGAATTTCTTGTTTGGACTGATTTGACAAGAACAGGCCCTTTGGAGATTTCAATATCCCAAGTGCCTTGCGAATGTGTCCACGCTCGGCTATTTCATACCAAAGTCACGTTTTTCACAGAAAAACGGTTCAATCTAATTTCATTGGGTTCTATGCAGCTCTAGTAGAGAATAGTATCTCCATACAGTACATGCTGCAGTTGTTTTGTTGTTTTTGGTTTTTGTTGAAAAGGGCTCATAGTCAGGCATTACACGGACCAAGATAACTGGGAAAAAAAAAGGCTGAAGTCTTTCTCTCTAGAATCTTTTCTACGTCCAGTGAGCACATCTCGGGATGTGATATTATCATAAATACTGTCTACATATATTTTATCATG